ATATAATTTAGGGAGGCTTTAAATTTTTAATGGGGCTCCAGCCCCCCCTGAAATAGACTTAGTGACGCCACTGGTTGATGCGCTTCCACCGCAGTTAAAGTTTGTTTTTCTTTGCTTAATGACAAAATAACTAAAGAAGCATCGACGCGTTTCTTCACAGTCACTAAGTTATTGTTACTGTCATCCAGTCTGGGTGTCACGGTGATGACGTCAGGAGTGAAGGAGCAGCGGGCTGGGAGCGCGCAGCTCAGACACAAACGGAGCTGAGCCAGGAGCGTGTTGTCCTCGCGGACAGTCGGACCGAGCAGCAGCAGCAGTAGGGTCAGCAGCAGCAGGGTCAGCAGCAGCAGCAGCAGCAGGGTCAGCAGCAGCAGCAGCAGAGTCAGCAGCAGAGCCATGAACAGGTCTGCGGCTCCCAGCCCGCAGCGGTTCGGCAGCAGCGGCTCGCTGGGCTCAGTGGACCAGGAGCTCCTCATCACGTCCACCTTCGGGACGCTGCTGTCGGTGGTCTACGTCGTCGGGGTGTCCGGGAACGTGTACACGCTGGTGGTGATGTGCCACTCCATCCGCCTCGCCACGTCCATGTACGTGTCCATCATCAACCTGGCGCTGGCGGACCTGCTCTACCTGTCCACCATCCCCTTCGTGGTGTCCACCTACTTCCTGAAGGACTGGTACTTCGGGGACGTGGGCTGCCGCGTCCTGCTCAGCCTGGACCTGCTCACCATGCACGCGAGCATCTTCACGCTCACGGTCATGTGCACGGAGCGCTACCTGGCCGTGACGCAGCCGCTGGACACGGTCCGGCGCTCCAAGAGCTACCGGAAGGCTCTGGCCTGGGGGGTGTGGCTGCTGTCCCTGGTCCTGACCCTGCCCATGATGGTCATGGTGGCGCAGACCACCAAGACGCTGCCGGAGGGGGGCGTGAAGCGGATGTGCGCGCCCACCTGGGCGCCCCTGGCTTATAAGGTTTACGTGACGGTTCTGTTCGGGACCAGCATCATGGCYCCCGGGCTCATCATCGGGTACCTGTACATCCGGTTGGCCCGCACCTACCTGGAGTCCACGCGCAGCTGTGTGATCAGAGGCAGCAGGAGGTCCCCCAAACAGAAGGTTCTGATCATGATCTTCACCATCGTGCTGGTGTTCTGGGCCTGCTTCCTGCCCTTCTGGATCTGGCAGCTGCTGCCCCTGTACCACAGCCAGCCGCTGAGCCTGGCCTCTCACACGCACACCTGCATCAACTACCTGGTGGCCAGTCTGACGTACAGCAACAGCTGCATCAACCCGTTCCTCTACACGCTGCTCACCAAGAACTACCGGGAGTACCTGAAGAACCGCCACCGGAGCTTCTACAAGTACACGTCCTCCTTCAAGCAGCGGCCGCCCAGTCTGCACTCCTGGGGCAAGTCCGCCTCCTCCAGCAACCAGTTCGACTTCAACTCCGAGACCCTGGTCATGGGCGCGCTCAGGTGACGCGCGAGCCTCGTGCGTAAAAGCTCCTGGTGACAGGTAGGTGTTGGTACGCACCGTGCGTAAAACACGCGCTCAGATGGTTAAAGTCTGCAGGCAGAGCGTTTTCCCAAACAAACTGTGTTCAATAACTACAAATAAAGAACAGATGAATGAATATTGTTAAAGTTTAAACCTGAGATCATCTGATGACGAAACAGGAAGTTGTAGCTGTTTCTTATTCTGCTGTTTGTAAAGTTACAGTCAGAAATTACCTCCTGTATTTTTCTTTTATTTAGACTTTTATCAGAAAAAAAGAACAGATTTATTTTTCAAAGTCAGTTTTTCACCATATGATTCATACATTTATAAATGTCATAATTAAAAACTAAATATTTAACTTACAAAT